ATCCTCGTGCTTTGCCCACTCCTCAAGGGCTGCCCTGCCCTCTCCTAGGTCTGACCACTCAAGAGGTACATTTGCAACTGATATTCTCTCATGCTCCCTTCTAATACTTGTTTCCCCTCCCAGTGCTTTCGCTAAGACTCTCCAGCTACCCGTATTCCCAGGCATAGCCTGCATCCATGACTGTGCTGGCACATCCAGATGATTAGCTTGAAAGAAGCAGCCAGCCTTTTCCATAGTTTTGGTGTTATTATGGACCTGGGTGTGTTTGTAAGAACCAGAACAGACAGTGGGACTGCAGCTTACCAGTGCAGACAGGCATTGAGGAACCTTGCTGTAAGGAAGATAATCTGCCTGTCGTGTGTCTGATCTAACACAGCAAGTGTGGTGAGGTGGGCTAAAAACCAACAAAGATAAAGGCACTTCTGCACCTAACAGGAAAGTACGTTGCTTTACCTTAAGACTCAGCAGATGCTAAAATATTTTGGCTTTTCAAATAAGAAAAAGACACAAGAAAATTCCTTTGGCGGCTCTTACATACAAAGCTGCTGGTGTGGCAGCCCCTAAACTATCAATTCCTAAGGCTAGAAGATTATTCAGGAGAAATATCTGCATATGCTTGCTCTATTCTTCTACTCTTCCCTTGGGATCTAGTGTTGAGGACAGAATATTAAGCCGAAGGGATTTTGGTCTGAGCCTGTGTGACCCTTCTGTACATTAGAATGAACTTGCCAAGGCCTATAGCAACTGCTGAGTTAGATCTGTGTCATGGATTGGAAAGAGGGTATCTCCCTTCCCTAGAGGAAGTAGTTTCTACCAGCTGCAGTGCTCAAGGCAAGGGCAAGCAGCCAGAACGCCTAAATTTGCTTGAATCAGGCTGGACTATTGAATGACTGTGTGCTTTGGCTGTTAGCCAGCACTTATAGGCAACTTCTGTTTCTTGAGCTGGAATCTGGAGTGCTTGTTTGCCATGCCCATGGTAACCAGCACCAGCTTCTTTTAGAAACCCTGTCTTTGCTTTTTTTTTTAAAAAAAAAAAAGTTGTTGCAGCACATCTCCCTTGTTGCAGCATGTCTGCGCCTCTGATTTTAGTTTTGCTAGAAATTTTTCTACAAAGGCTGGCCGTATTTTTCCAATACTGTTTTGAAAAAGAACAGCAAGGTCCTCACTGAAGTCATCACACCTCCAGTAGCAGGGCTAAAAACTTGTCCCCTGCTAGCTCTCATGTCAAAGTGATTTCTCACATTTCTGGTGCTAAGGAGTCTGCAGGTGGAGACATAACATTGTCCTCTTTTCCCAGGTCATGGTCTTATATTACTGCTGATACTCAGTAGTGAAGCGTCCTAGCACAGTCTTGGCTTGTAGCTGTCTCTGCCAAGCATGAGCAGTGCCGGGCCCTGAGGGGTCAGTTCTCCATCAGAGGAGCTGTAACTATGCTGAGGGAACAAGCACCGGACAGCATATAGGATGGAAACCCAATGGCTGCTGTCACCTAGGTTTTTCTCAAAGCAATGGAGAGTGGTTCCAGAGTTGCTCTTACGTTTCAGCG